GTGTGTGTAACAGGCTGTGTGTGTGTGTGTGTGTGTAACAGGCTGTGTGTGTGTGTGTGTAACAGGCTGTGTGTGTGTGTGTGTAACAGGCTGTGTGTGTGTGTGTGTAACAGGCTGTGTGTGTGTGTGTGTAACAGGCTGTGTGTGTAACAGGCTGTGTGTGTAACAGGCTGTGTGTGTTTTCAGGAGACGGTGGGTCAGGTGGAGATCAAGGCTTTGTCTCAGCTCTACAGGTGAGAAACACTCGGGTACACATGATCAAGTCTTTCATTGCTTACAGTGACTGCAGACGTGTGCAGTCTGTAGTACAAATGTGTGTTTTGTGTGCAGCCGTTGTTTCCTGATCTACCGTTACCCGGGGAAACCAGCCACGGTGATCTCAGAGGACGACTTTGTTGACAAGGTGAAGAATTTTGCGTCGTTTGGGCGGTACAAATATAAAAATCATCTCTCAGTATTTTCTACAAGGTCAAAGCTAATTGTTACTTTGTTGCCTAGGTGACGCTGTGTTGCTCGATCAACGGTCACTATGACATCGTTTACCCGAGGACTTACCCTGTCTCTGCTGCCCTCTGTCAGTGTGAGTACTGGTCACTGATTGGTGGATCAGAGTCAGTGACAGCTTTAAAGGGACAGTACAACATTTAACTGTCAGGTTCACCTTTTCACCTAGTGTGTGTGTGTGAGAGAATGTAAATAGTGTGTGAATAATATGTGTGTGTGTGTGTGAATAATGTTAATGTGTGTGTGTAGCTCTTTTCTATGAGCTGCTCTACACTCAGGTGTTTGGGTTTGAGGAGGCGGAGCTCTGTCAGGCTATGGAGGCCTTCAGGGTCGGAGGTCGTCGCTATAGAAACAGCCCATCAGTGTGCAGTGACGTCGACTTTGGGTATGACACACCTGAGGACCGATGTCGCAGGTACACACACTGATGATGTCATGAAACAACGTGGACCAAAACTTTAGTCCTGCAGCAAAACATTTAACAACAAAGCAGTTTGAGTCAAAATTGTATAAATGTGTTGCAGATAATTATAACTGACAATATAATAAGTTGTTATTTACTGATGCTCTTCATCGTCACTTCCTGTTTGTTCACTGCGTTTACTGATACTCTTCATCATCACTTCCTGTTCTCTGTGTTTACTGATGCTCTTCATCGTCACTTCCTGTTTGTTTACTGCGTTTACTGATACTCTTCATCATCACTTCCTGTTCTCTGTGTTTACTGATGCTCTTCATCGTCACTTCCTGTTTGTTCTCTGCGTTTGCTGATGCTCTTCATCGTCACTTCCTGTTTGTTCTCTGCGTTTGCTGATGCTCTTCATCGTCACTTCCTGTTTGTTTACTGAGTCACTCTTCATTGTCGCTTCCTGTTTGTTCTGTGTTTTGATGGTTGCTCACCTGTACAGTGACATCATGTTGTACTCTGGTGTGTGATTGTTTTGTTCTACAGGGAGGAGGCGGAGTCGGCTGGAGCTGCAGACGATAAACTGCGCACCCTGACAGCCGAGACGAAGGTGAGGGGCCGACGACTCATGTTTTTCATGTGACCATACCAGGGTGTCTTGTGGTGGTTAATAAAGAGTACTAGAGTTCTTTTCCCCTGCAGATAGTCGCCTCTTAATCCTGACTGAAAATCAAATTGTCTTATAAACTATAGTTGTCGTGTAAAAGACTATTGCAATCACAAGAAGTACTTTATCTGTTTTAAGGACTTAACTTGATAAGAACTCTGGACCTGAGACGCGGTACAAGATAAATATATAGAAGTGTTTTATTATCCAATCCGGAAAGCTGCATTCATCCTGACCTGTTTTTTTTTTTTTTAATTGGTCAGCCTCCTGCCGAAGCCCCGCCCCCTTCCAGACTGTCTCTTCCTTATAAGGTCATGAAGTCTCTGGATGGAGAAGCGTACAGAAACCTGGAGTTTGACGTGTGGCAGGACACCTGTAAAGGTACGAGTCCTGGAGAGGAACCTTTATAAAACCTCATAACATTCATATTGTTTGATATAATTCTGTTTTAAATATGAGCTCATATTTACTCACAATGATGGTTTCTAACGTATTATGAATCAATGTTTATCTGACAGAGATGCAGAAGACGGACTACATGGTGTTTGCAGGGAGGCAGTACTTCCTGGGAGACAAGTGTCAGGTAACATTAATACTACTATATCCAAACACTGCTTCAGGATCAGTACTGCTGGTAATACAGCAGTAGAGTAGTTCTCTAAAGGATTCGATGTATCTGGTGTCTTTTATACTTGTAGTTCTCTAAAGCAGAGGTCTTCAACACGGGTCCGGAGGTACTGCAGGGGGGTCGTGAAATGTTTGGTTGATTAGACAATTAGACAAAAAGAAATATATATATATATATTTTTTTAATTGTCTTTTATATA